TACAGAAAATAGCATTCCCAACGACTTGAGTTTGGGCAGCTATGCAAGCTTGGCACCAGTCACCTGGGATGGAAGAGTAAGTTGGAAAGTGTGTCAACAGCTCTGGAGGTACTTGGTACTTCCAGTGCACTAAAGAGGAGAGGGACCAAAGGTGGGGACGAGGGAAGCAGCGGCTAGACCATACACCCCGAAATCATCCTGAAGAAGAATATTTTCCCAATTGTCCAGTAGCAAAATATTGCTTTCCTCAAACATTCCTATGAGTTCTAGCACATTTGGAGATCTGTGTAACCACAACCACAGTCAGGGTGCAGACCAGTCTGTACCCACAGTCACATTCTCCCTCCAGCCCTAAGGATCTTCCCCCGGGATCGCTACTCTGCCAGCACGATTTTACTTTTTACTTTCTGTAAATGTCACGTAAATGGGATCCTGCACTATGTAACCTTGTAAGATTGTGCTTTCAGTCAGCATGATACATTAAAATTAACCATGTGGCAGCCTGTACCAACAGTTACTCATTTTTATTGCCCCGTTGTATCCAATTATATGGATGCTCACGCATCTCCCTGATGGGAGTCGTTTGGTCTGCTGCATGTGGGGGACTATGCTTCCTAGAGTTGCTGTAAACCTTTGTATGTAAATCTGTGTCTGAGCATGAGTGTTAAGTTTCTCTAGGGAACACATGGGAGTAAGAATGTTGGGCTGTGTGTTAAGTGCAAATTTAACTTTTCAGGAAACATCCAGCTATTTTCCGAAGCTGCTGGATGACTTCTGATCCTCACCAACAGAGACTCCCCAAACCTGGGCAGACGTGTAAATCAGCCTCTCACAACAGTTTGCACAACAGGGTTAGTCAAGGGAGCAAAACAATTGAATTTGGGAGAAGATTAAAGGCAGAGGAAACAGCTAGAGGTGAGATACAGAGATACAGCAATGTAGAGAGACACTAGTGGCCTGAGCAGGGCCATGACAATGGGGACAAATCATCAGGGAGGGAGGGATCCGCTCTAGAGCAGTGGTTCCCAACCTGTGCATCACAACCTCTTTGAGGGGTTGAATGACCCTTTCACAGGGTTGCATATCAGATATCCCACATGTCAGATATTTACCTCAATTTATAACTATATCAAAATTACAGTTATGAAGTATCAACGAAAAATAATTTTGTGTTTGGGGGTGGCCACAACATGAGGAACTGTATTAAAGGGTCACGTCGAGAGGAAGGTTGAGAACCGCTGCTCTAGAGGAAAACCTGGGCTTTGGGCTAAGGAAAGAAGACGGGGCTAGTGAGATAGCTCAGAGAATAAAGCACTCAGTTCGGATCCCCAGGATCCAGGAGAAAGCTGGACACTCAGTGTGTCCCCAGAGGGAGATGAGAGGCAGGGACAGGACAGTCTCCAGGAGACAAAATTCAGTAAGCCTGGTGTATGCAGCAGCTACAAGACCCTGCCTCAGATGAAACAGAAAGCCCAAGACTGACACTTGAAGGTTGCCCTCTGTGTGCTGTGGCAGGTATGTGCCTAAACACACACACACACAAACACACACACACACATACACACGCGCACACACACACACACATACACACACACACACACACACACACGAGGGGGAGGAGAGACTAATTTTTTAAAAAAATATCAGAAATGACTTTCAAGTTTCTGCTTCTTCAAGACCCAGAGGATCAAATGGAGAGAGAGCTGGACTCCACCGTGAGGAGGTGGATGGCGGAGGCTAAGGCGTGAGCAACCTCCCTCCTCTGCACTGTGGATCCCAGGTGATGACTGCAGCAAACAGCTTGGCTCTGTTTCCCCAGAAAAATTTACACCCTGCCATGTGAGGAGAGACAGGCCAATCTGCCAGCCTGCGTCTACAAAGCTATAAACCTACCCGCAGCATTCTGGGAATGGCCTCTGCTGGGGTTCCAGCTGTCCTCAGAACTCAGGCAAAGGTAGTTCCTTCTGAAGACTCAGCTGAACTTGTGTGTGTGTGTGTGTGTGTGTGTGTGTGTGTGTGTGTGTGTTACGCACCTGTGTGTGCATGTGTATGCAGGCCTGTGTGTGTGGCTGAGGAGTACTGATCAGAACTACAGCTCTTCATGGTATCTGAGTCCTGAACGGGAGAGTGCCAAAGGCCTGCTATCAGGGAAAGAGACTCTGCAGAAGGTCCCCAGGCTTCCCTCCAGACAGGGTCCTGCTGCACTCTTAGGACCCCGGACAGTCTGATGGCACTGTAGGGAGCTGGTCACCATGGAGGAGGAGTTCTGCAGACTCTCTGATGCGCTCTTTCCTGCGCATGCTTCATAACATCACCGCGGAATTCCCACCTTCCTGCTGGAGGAGTTGGGGCCCAGTGAGGCTCTCTTCAGTTCAGCTGCCAGGCCTTCCGTGACGTGCTGAGCCCTTAGTCTGCTTCAGTGCTGTCTCTTCTCCCAGAGGACAAGATGTCCAGACAGTCTGTTGGTCTCTGTGCTAGACTCCTGGGGTGGCTGATCCCATCTCCACCTCTGGGAATTGATTCTCCTTCCTTCCCTCTTGTCAAGCAGTCGTGTTTGCAATGGCATACCTACTGCTCAGCTTCTAGTTGACTGGACATGAATTAGCCCACACAGAAGGAAGCTATCAGAAATCATCCCTGCCTTGGAACTGAGGCTTATAGTGAGAAAGAATAGATTCTCTCTGGAAGGCTTCCACCAATTGAGCTGTGTCCATATTTTCCACATGGAGTGATAAGTCATCCACAACAAGCAAGAAAACCCATGCTAAAGTTCAGAGCAGGTTAGAGAGACGGTAGGTAAGTTAATGGACAACGGATTAAGTGGAAGCTGACATAGGGTCCTAGAAGTTACTCTTTTGATTGGCTGATCTCTCTCTCTCTCTCTCTCTCTCTCTCTCTGTCTGTCTCTCTCTCTCTCTGTGTGTGTGTGTGTGTGTGTGTGTGTGTGTGTGTGTGTGTGTAAAACACACATGTATTCTGGAGTAGAGGCCTTTGGACCCAGTGCACCCCAGACCATGGATGCTAGGCACACACACTGTCAGCATGTTCACTGACACAGGAAAGAGCAGAAAAGGAAATGAGTAAATAGATGCATTAGCTCTAGAGAAAAAACAGGAGACCAGGGGTCAAGGCCCAACTCCACCCTTAGCATTGTGACTTTGACTGGGCTGATATAGCCTACAGAAAGGCTATAGAAAGAGATGATCGTGTTTCACGGGAATTTCTTTAATAGAAAAAACTGTAAGAAGTAGCCATGCAGATGTGGAGCCTTGGTTCACAGAACCACGAGCCAGGCTGGGGCTGAGAAGGGGCCCAGATGTTCCTACAAAGGCAGAGCCCAGAGCTTCCCTGTGCTGTGTGAGGACTGTGAGAGCCCTGCCAGCAAAGGTTAATTGCTTAAATTTCTTAACCACTAGAAGGGGAATTTCCACTTGGCAATTAAGTTTGCAAATACTGCACAACCTTATAGAGCCTATTTCTCCAAATAGATGTGTTCTTTTTCATATAATAATCAATTCGTGGGTGTTTCGCTTGCCTAATTAGCTCTGCATGTAAATTAATCTCTGCATATTGAAACTGCAAACTCTGTCTGGTAATGTTGCCTTGTTTCCTAGATAAATCAAATTACTATGGCCCCAGCAAAGGTCCTGGGTTCTAGAGCTGCCAAAAGCCAGGGTTAGCAGGTCCCTTAGCAGTGGAGGGTCAGAATTTAGGGAGGGTTTGGTCTGTAACCCAGGTTAATTCTGTTTACCCACAGGGAGGACCCATGCGGTTCTTCTTTCTGCTCCTAGGCAAAGCTAAGATTGCACTTCCAGAGCCATTTGGGAATAAAAGATCAGTTTTCTCTTCCCCAGGCAGCAGGGAGGGCTGAGGTGGGACCATGTCCGCTTCTAAGGCTGCTGGGAGGAGAGGGGAAGGGTAAATTCAGGTCTAGTTCAGAGTCCACAAGCCCAGGCTTCCTACAAGATGCCATCTCTGGCTAAGCATGGCTACAGTGCCCTCTCCCTATTGCCAAAGTGCCACCAAGAAGGCTGTCACTGGGTCCTCGGTTGTGACAGGCTTGACTCTGTGTCCATGGACACCCACACGCATTTGGAATCAAACAGGCCTGGTTCTAACCCTGGCTCTACTCTCTTTTAATGGGGTTGGTGGTTTAAATAAGAACACCCCCCATAGGCTTGTATGTTTGAATACTCCGATTGGTGGAACTGTCTGGGAAATATTAGGAGGTGTGACCTAGTTTGAAGAAGGCGTGTCACTGGCTTTGAGATTTCAAAAGACTTAGGGAGTGCTTTCTCTACTTTCTGCTTGCAGTCTGAGAAGTGAGTGCTAGCCAGCTGTTGTTACAGCCATGCCGTTGCTCCACCACCATGGACTCTAACCCTCTGGAACCATAAGCCCTATTAAACACTTCCTTTAAAAAGCTGACCTGGCCATAGTGCTTTATCACAGCCAATAGAAATGTAACTAACTCATAGGTTGGCTCTTCTCATTTGTTAGTGAAAGTAATGGTGTTCCACCTCCACACAGCCTGAGTGAGGTGACCACAGGAGTTGTATTTTACACAACTTCGGTAGATACCAAGGCCCTTTGATAATGGCAGACAAGTGTTGGCCGGTTATGTGTTTTGCGTTACTTTCTGGTACACCAACAACAGGGGCAGAGCTGCTGCCTTTTCTCTCACTGAAGTGTTGGCTCCCAGTGCCTCATTGAAGACCAGTTGCCAGCACTGTACAGTACTCAGCCAAGTACAGAAGACTGGCCTCCAGCCTAGGCAAGCTATCCTTGGACATTTCCCTCTGAGCTGCTTTCTTATAGGTTGTTTTGAGAAATCTGAGAAAAGCAGAATTCTTTTTGGAGCCTTCCAATCCTGTGGCTCTCTAGACAGGGTGGCCTGTAAACTCAAACCGCATCTGCCTCTGTCTCACCTTTTAGCCAGGCCAATGCAAATAAGAATCAAAGAGTTGGTTTTCCCCATACACTCATCATGAAGATCACCCAGTTTGGGACCAGACCACCTTACTGGCCTCCCAGAGGGAGCGTGACAGAGTGTCTAGGACTTTCACAGAGTTGCAGGGGGCTGTGTTCCCAAATAGATGTCACACTGCACAAGTCCAAATGCTGGCTGCCCATGTGCCATAGAATGAGGTTCTGTCATCTTGATGGGGGAAACACTTCTAGATGCAGAGACCACTCAGAACCTAGAACACACAGAGAAAACATACAAGAATGAGTGGAGACATGAACACAGCTAAAAGATGATGTGTGCCCGTGAGTATGTAGAAATACTGAGTCAGCAAGTGAATAAACAGAAGGGATGAAGAGTGCAGATTTGAAACCATTGTGTTGAAGACTGCATTCCCATGTTGGCTGCAGCATTAGGCACAGTTAGCTAAGCTATAAAATCAACCTAAGTGCCCATCAAGGGATCAATTATAAGGAAAATGTGTTGTGTACACAATGAGGTACTCCTCAGTCTTTGAAAAGGAAGAGATTTTCAAATGATGCCTGCACACCGGTGTTCAACGCTGCTCTATTCACAATAGCAAGGTTATGGAATCAATCTAAATGCCCATCAATAGAAAAAGGAACGAAGAAATTGGGTGCGTATATACACAATGGAGTGGTTTTCTGTTATAAAGAAAAAAAAACAGTGTTTCCAGGACATTCTATAGAATTGTGTAAAGGGAAATAAGCCAGGCCCTGAAGGAAAAGGGTCACCTGTTTTTCCATCTGTGTGGACTTGGGAGAGGTCATGAAAGTACTATCAGGGTTGTAAAGAGGAAGGAGGGTGTGGCGAGGGCAGGAGGGGGTGAATATGATGAAAGTCCATGTCACACATGGATGGAACTGTTATAAAAGAGCATTGCTTTGTACAATTAACAGGTGTTAATAACATTTTTGAAAATGGGGAAGAGATTCTATCATTTGCAACAATGTAGATGGGATTGGGGGACTCTGTCTGAATAAAATAAACCAAACAGAAAGATGTACTGTCTATTCTTATTTATACATGTGGAGTCTATAACAGAGTTATAGAAGTAAAGAAGAAGGTGCCAGAATCTGAGGGCAGGGGGGAGGAGGAGGTAGCACATCAGACAGGAGCAAGGTGGGGTTTTCATCTTTGGTTTCTCTTTTTCCAGATCAGTTGCAAAGTATAGTAAATTTAGCAAAAAGCTGACTATTTCAATTTAAATTTCAAATGTCAAAAAATAGAAATTTGAGATCAACATGTTAATATCCCTGATTAAACCATCCTATATTGTATCATAGCAGCATTTTGTACTCTCTAAATATACACAAGTACAATTTGTTAGTTACAAAATGAAAGATCTGAGAGTAGGGTACATGTTCTAATAATTCCAGAACTTGGGAGCTAGAGGCAAGAAGAGCTCATTGTCTATCTGGATTGTACAGAGAGGTTCTGTGTAGGTGCATGAGCATGCATGTACGTGTGTGTGTGTGTGTGTATGCGCATATGTGTGTATGTGTGTTCACATGTGTGTGCATGTGCACATGTAGGAGGGCTTTACTTTGGGAATCAAAATAGGAAGGACTGTCTTTCTTGGTCCTACTTCCTCCTCTAAGCAAAACATTCTTTTAAAAGCCAAGAGCTCCTGGGGGGCTGTGGGAATGAGGCCATGTTTTGTCATATCAATGAATCCACACCACCACCTCCATCCTCAAGACCTTGGATTGGTCATTGAGAAATTGGTTTCAGATTCTATTTATCTGCTGCTTGGAGTCACCGAGTCTTTCTGTGACATCCAAGAGTACCTGTGTCTAGAAATGTCTATCAGAACCACAGGGCCTTCATCTACCAATGTTGCAAGTGATCATAACTAACTCAAGAAAATGTGAGTCCCAGAAAGATGCATTCAGCCTCGTGGGCAACCCACAGGGACATCTCCTAGGGACAGGGTGCCTTCCTGGCTAGAGAAGTCTTTAAGTCTTTAGATCCTGGGAAGGTGAACACTTTCCCCTGCCATGTGCTTTTCCCTGCTGTAGAGCGTGGTGTTCCCCAAAGCCTGGGGCTCATGCTGTTCAGCAGACCTCCAGATCCTGAAAAGGAAAATGGTGAGGGCCTTCATGAGTCCAATGGAAGACCTGAGGGAAGGAGTCAGTCAGCATATCCTGGAACAGTAGCCACACCCTGCAGAGCTCAAGGAGAAACTGAAGAAACTTAAATTGTCTTCTATGGTAGCCCTTTCTGGTCTGCATAGCCTAAGCTTGTTTCTTGTTTCAACTAATTAGATTACCACCTCCTTCATCTCAACACACACACACACACACAAACCCAGACACACAGACATACACACACACACATAAACCCAGATACATAGACAAACAGGCAGACACATACACACACAGACACACACACACACAAACCCAGACACACAGACACTGATACACCTACACAAACCCAGATACATAGACACACAAACACACACATACACACACAGGTATACACACAGACACACACACACATAAACCTAGATACATAGACAGACAGACAGACACACACACACACACACACACACACACACAATCCACCCCTGCCAATGCCAAATGTAAGCATAAAATTCATTGTTTCTAGATTCCTCACTCACTGTTTTCCTCTCTAACCTCTCTCAGGCTTCCTATTTCTTGAGTCACAGCCCATTGACTCTTGCCCTCACTTGATGACTAACCACCCCATTTGAGTCAGCTTTAAGGACAGTTCCTAGAATGCTGTGCTTTCAGTTTTAAGACTAGACAGTCTCCAGTACACCAGGACAGATCAGTCACCTTGTCACTTGCATGTGAGAAAATCTGTGTACAAAATAACTGTCTCTATGTCAGGTCTTGATACTATCATGTGATTTGTTTAAAACCTTAAGGGGTCTCCCTTCCACAGAACACATGCTAAAAATAGAGCTACACAAATAAGATTAGCATGGTCCCTGTGCTGACTAGTTTTATATCAACTTGACACAAGCCAAAGTCATCTAAGAGGGGGGGACCTTAATTAAGAAAATATCTCCATAAGATCAAGCTGCAGACAAGCTTGTAGGGCATTTTCTTAATTAGTAATTGATGGGAAAGGGCCCTTTCCATTGTGGATGGGGTCATCCTTGGGCTGGTGGTCCCGGGTGCTATAAGAAAGCAGGCTGAGCAAGCCAGGGGAAGCAAACCAGTAAGCAGCTCCCCTCCATGGCCTCCGCATCAGCTCTGCCTTCAGGTTCCTGCCCTGTTTGAGTTCCTGTCCTGATCTCCTTCTGTGATGGACTGTACCTGGAAATGTAAGCCAGATAAACCTTTTCCTCTGCACCTTGATTAGGTCATGGTGTTTCATCATAGCAGTAGTGACCCTGACTAAAACAGCCCCTGTGCCAAGAAGGCAGACAAATTTGTGAAGCATTCTGCATTAAAACCAATCGTGTGCAAACATATTCATGCTTAATATGTGTTTGCCATGGTTGCACTGTTGTCACTGTTACACTCAAATGTCCCAGTGTGATGGTGTCTGAAGGTGTTCTTCCGTCCTCATGTAGTCAGAATTTTATCGCTGTGACAAGACACCAGAGAAAAATATGTTAAAGCAGAAATGTTTACTTGGTTCATAGTTTTGAGTCTTCAGTGATTGGCGGCTTCTGCTGCTGTGGGTGTGTGAGGAGACCAAGCATGATGGCAGTAGAAGCATATGGCAGGAGGCAGGAGAGAGGGGGAAACGAGGGAGATGATGGGATAGAGGAAAAGAGGGGTGATATTAAATTAGGTATTCATCACTGATGGGTTAGATTCCCTGTGATCCAGTCACTTCCTAAAAGCTTCATTTGTGAACATTGCATTAGACACCAGGCTCTCGATACACAAGTCCTTGGAGAACATTTGCATCCAAACCATAAGTTTCTGTTGGGTCATTGCACCATTTTCTTAAAGATGAATACTAGAGACTGAATCCCAGTGCTTAATGTGTAGTAAACAAATGCTTTATTACTGACCCACAACCCAACCCCATAAAACAGTCTAAGAAAATCGCCAAGTCCTGTAAAGTGTAAAACTTTGAGAGACATTAAAAGATAATCTGATAATGCAAGTTAGAATAGAAAATAAATTAGGTACAAGGACTCGCCAAGATAGGATAGATAATGGAGTATTTTCTCTGAATTTGTCAAATGCAAATGGACTAGACATTATTGATGAACTTATTGCTTGTATATATTGTATTTACTTATTGTACTTATTGTATATCATTTTTCTTATATCAATTGTAGCCTTCTTTTTGTATTAAACAAAAAAGGAGAATTGTATTAATATATTATTTATGATTTATTAAAGCTTGCTTGAGGATTCAGAAAGCAAAGTCATCCACAGGCCACAGAAGCCAGACACACACTTTTAATCCCAGCAGCTAGAAGCTAGGAGGAGGTAGTACACATCTTTAATCCTAGGACTCAGGATTAAGAGGTAGACAGATCTCTGTGAGTCCAAGGCCACCCAGATCTACACAAGATTGATCCAGTCCTAAAGAGAAACAGCTCACACAAAGATGATCTCAGCACTTAGGATCACACACCTTTAATCCCAGTATTAGAGAGGTATATAAGACAGGAACGGAGTCTCTGTATCAGACACTCATTCTCCAACCACATTGAGGATAGGAACTCTACAGGTCTTTCAGAAGTAAGAGTTCTCTAGTAGCTTGGCTGCTTTGCTTCCCTGGTCTTCAGGTTGAACCCCAATATCTGCCTCTGGATCTTTTAATTAATCATGTTACAAAGTCTCTACCTTATCTCCAAATGCTGCTTCAGGGGCTCCAGAACAAACACGGAAGGTGGCGTTTGAGTGCTGAGCTCTTTTAACTAAAAACTCAGCCTCAAGATCTCTCTGACCTTATGTGGGGCCCACCCCCAACTCTCCACTCTCCTTTTCTCCAAAGCAAAGGGCAGGGAAGGACTTTCTCTGAAGTGCCTTTGTCCAGCCATCAAGGACCAGTGGAGGTCTCCGAGAGGGCAGGCCGCCTTGTGTTCTCTTCCTGACATCTCAGGAAATAGATTAACTCACAGAAGATCTGAGGTGTGACTCCGTCAGAGAAACTACACCATAAAAAAAGTCTCTGGGATCTCTGGGGGAGGGGTTATATCATGTGTAGTGGTCTTTCGTGCACGTGTATTTGCATGTGTGTGAACATACCTGCATCAAGGTCCACCTACATGCA